AAAGTAAGGAATAAACACTCCACCAGAATGATGTGGTTTATTTTCCTTATTTTTGAATGATGTAATTTATTTTTCGTATCTTTCGGAGATATCTGTATAAACCCCATCAGAGGGTAAAAAAAAAAAAAACCCATAAGCCCAAAATAACACCAACCATGTCATTAAAAGTACGTTCAGTACTCCACAATTATTCGACAACCCACCGCTATTACTACCAACCAGGTGACTAAAAGTACACCCAGTACTCCAAAATTATTCGGCAACCCGTCGCTATTACCACCAACCAGGTGATGAAATGTACAACCCGTACTCTAATATCGTTTGGCAAATAGCCATTCATGCCACCAACCAGGTGATGAGATGTACAACCCGTACTCTCATTTGGCAACTAGCCATTCATGCCACCAACGAGGCGATCAAAAGTACGCCCAGTACTTCATATTATACATGAGCATTACTCATATCAATCATATATAAACATTCATGAGCATCACTCATATCAATCATACATGAGCATCACTCATGTCAACATTCATGAGCATCACTCATGTTAACATCCATGAGCATCACTCATGTCAATCAAACGTTCATGAGCATCACTCATGTCAATCAGCTTCAAAAGCTTCATTTACAGAGCTACAGCTTCAAAAGCTTCATTTACAAAAGCTCTAGCTTCAAAAGCTTCATTTACAAAGCTCCAGCTTCAAAGCTTCACTTACAAAGCTTCAATGCAGGGTATACAAATACTGCCTCCAAACAACCGTCACTTTGGCCCATACATGGATTCAATTTGAAGTCTCCAGCCAACAGACTCTATTGACCGAAAACTTGGGGGACTACATTATGTACCATATATTGGGCCTCAACTGGACCTTATGAAAAATATTTAGGGGACTTAGCCCATCACTTATGTATTGAGGAACGATCCCTTATTTTATAAAAATGGACTCCCTCACCGTCATTAGAGAGCATCAACTCTAGCACATTATTCATGTATTGAGGAGCGAGCCCTTATTTTATAAAAGGGACTCCCTCACCACTATTAGAGAGTATCGCCGCCTACTGAGCAACCACCTTGCCGAGCATCAACTCTAACCCATCATTTATGTATTGAGGAACGAGCCCTTATTCTATAAAAATGACTCCTTCACCATCATTAGAGAGCATCAACTCTAGCCCATCATTCATGTATTGAGGAACGAGCCCTTATTCTATAAAAAGGACTCCCTCACCATCATTAGAGAGCATCAACTCTAGCCCATCATTCATGTATCGAGGAGCGAGCCCTTATTCTATAAAAGGGACTCCCTCACCTTCAAACGCCGCAAGCCGAGCCAACCAAGGCAACCTAAGCCACGAGCCGAGCAGCCTCGCAGCGTGTGCTACTTCTAGTTGAGCATTATTTCAGATTGAGCACTACCTCATATCGAGCATCAGTTCAAGACAGTATCTAGTTACTTCGGCCCACACATGGACTAAATTTCAAGTCTCCAGCCAAAAGACTCTCTTAACTGAAGACTTGGGGGACTACTGTTTATACCATATTTAGGGCCTCGTATTTAGATCTCGTATAAATACTTGAGGGACTTAAATGTAATTGTGTGGTAAAGGAAAGGGCAAATATGTAATAAGTGAGGAGTCCTTATTCTATAAAAGGACCCCTCACCTTTACAATTAGAAGAGGCCAATTCCTAAGGCTCCTCACCCCTCTCAACGCTCTCACCCTCAGAGCTCTCTCTTTCCCTCACTTCTCAGAGAAATACAATACTATCAGTGTGGACGTAGCCCAAACCTTGGGGTGAACCACGATACATCTTGTGTTATTTACATTACTTGCAGATTCACGGTCGGATTTACGTTGTACCGAGACCTTCGGTTTTGTGCATCAATATATATATATATATATATATATATATATGAATACTAGCTCCAGAGAGAGCAAGCAAACATCATGTATAGGAACAATAAAACTCAGATTAACACAGAAATCAAAACTTTTTATGTCGAATCAGGTGCTATTTTTATCCCCAGAGACAAGGTTATGGAGAACAAGTTACTTGGGAGGATGTTTGAAATGTGCTACATCTTGGTATTGTAAATAATGAGCCAGGGTTCTTGGGGCAGCCTTCAAGTTATGCTTATTGGTTTTAAAAGTGCTACATTGCAAGTTGATGTCCATCAGAAACATAATGGACATTCGAAACTTACTCAAGAGTCAATACCACTACAGTTACATTAGCATCCACGCACAACAACATTAATTGCTACAACATCATTGATCTTCATCCAACCAAATCTCGACTACCCACGAGTTCAAAGTTCAACCAAACCGTCTTAAATCCCAAACATTAATTCAAACAGAATGACATATACATCCAAACAGTCTTACGAGTAAGAAACACGAAAGTTACGAACTTTTTTACCTGAGGTGGAGGAAGAAGAAGAAGGAGAAGAAGGAAGAGGATGCCTGAGGTGGACCTGTGGCATAGAGGTGGCTAGAGATATATAATGGTGAAGGTGGCTGTGAGAGAAAATCGCCCCAGAGAGAGATCGCGAGAGAGAGCGGTGGCGTAGAGGTGGCTGTGCGATGAAGGAAGGCTGGAGAGTCAGGTGTGGTGGTGGGCCGATGGCTGGCCGGAATTCGTCACAGAGAGAGAGATGAGATGAGGGCTTGCCGGCTCGGTGAGGGAGAGATTAGAGACGAGATTAGGGCTCGGCTGTTCGATAGAAACAATGGAACAACAGTGAACTGTGAAATGGGATTCTGACCTAAAAACATATGAACGGCATAGATTAAATCCAAAATAATGAACGGTTGAAATAATTCTCTTATAATTAAAATATATATATATATATATATAATATTTATTTTTGGTTTGGTATGGGAATACCGAAAAAATTGAGATGCAAAACCGAATCCCGTACCGAAAATATCGGTTTGGTTCGGGATTAAATACCGAAAATTTCGGGAATTTTGGTTTGGGATCAGGATTTTTTTGGTTTGGTTTGGGATTTTTGGGATTTTTTTCCAGCCTAGTTTTAATCATGAAAACCATCCACTATGTGAAAGAAGGTGGACTGGTGATGTGAAAGAAGGCGGACAGTTTGATGGTTTTAACAATGAAAATCACCCATTATGGGCTTTTTATATTTTGAAAAGTTTGGGATATATATTGTGTGTGTGTGTGTGTATATATAAATCTTATATAAATTATAAATTATTTAGATAATATTTTGTTTTTTTTCCTAGGCAAGCATATCATATATGTACATAAAACATTCACATATGTATGTTCTTCTATAAGAAATAGCATATTAGTCAACAATTATTTACATTTGATATAGTAAATTTAATTAATTCATAAAATATATAAGAAATTTACCTAAATCCCCCTAAGATGCCTAGGCGCCCGCCTAGAACCCGCTTAGCGAGGCGGCTAGTGTATTAATCCTCTCTTCGAATAGGCGGCTAGTGTATTAATCCTCTCTTCGAAATTTTGATACTGCATGCTATACTTACACTAACCCTTTGAGATTTGGCATTGCTTTCTATTTTGCATGTAGATGTGGGAGTGATGAAGGCAGTCGACCCCTTTTGCTACTCGGTCTGCACAACCAAGTTTGGAAAACTGGAATGTGTCCAGGAGTGCATTCGGCGGCAATTCAAAAAATGGGGTGTGCATTCCCGGACAAGGGCATGGAGAAGAGACACTTTGTTGCTGTTCCCCTTAAATTAGACAAATGATTAATGGTTTTTCACTTTGTAATAACAAAGTGAAAAACAAACATTTTATTATGTATCCACCTTGCCAAAGTTGCAATAATAAACACAGTTTTTGCAAGCTTGATTAGTTTCCTACGAGTTTCATTTAGAATTTATTTATGTAGGGTTCATTTGGAATATTTTTAAATTACTAAAAGCGTTTTTAGAAGAAATATTTTTTAAACTAATGCTTAGTAAAAATGAAAGTTATCTTGAAATGCACTTGGACACCAATCTTAATTTCAAAACCCGCGAAACTAGGAAAGAAAGAAAGAAACTCGCGAAACTGTTGGTCAATAGATAGAAGAGTCTCAAGCGAGAGAGACAAAGAGACCAGGGGACTGACACAGGAGTCTCTTGAGAAAGAGCTGGTATGGTCACTGTGGTCTCGTGTGGGTTTGTGTGGTCGGAGTCGAGAGACGGAGAATTAGGGAGAAGAGAGATCGAGAATCAGGGAGGACGAGTCGAGAGCAGAGTGAGGTGAAGTCGAGAAAGAGAAGATTAATTTTGATACAACGGTTGAGATTAAATCTCAACATAATCGGACGACTATAATAATTCCAAATTTTATTTATCATATATTTAAAATTAGAATTATATATAATTATATATATATATATGTATGTATTTTAATTTATTTCGGTTCGATGCTATCTTGGTGAACAAATCAACATTTCATACCGATTCCATACTGAATGTTTCAGGTTTGGTTTCGGTTCGTGCCGAATATTTGCATCCACATTTTTAAAACATAACTCGTAATGAAATAAAGGATACGTATAAATTGTAATTGAATAAGAATTTTTACAAGGTCATTGAATTTGAATATCAAATTTGTAAATAAAGGATGCATACTAAGTCTAACATTCTTCCTTCCTGAAAGGTACCTTCGTCTGCCTACTGCTGTAGGAAAAGATGAACGTAAAATATTCCGTGCACTAAAAGATCATGTGGAAACTAAGGTAAAGAGTTGGGAGGGTAAGATTATGTCTGTTAGGATGCCAAGTAGCATCACTTAGTTAGCCTAGGTATCTCAATTGTTGAGTTGGAGATCTTTAGCTTGCAACCAGCTATATAAGCTAAGATATGTACAGATGCAAAGGTGAATGAATATTTGATTGTATTAGTGTTCTTGTTACTCCCAGACCCTGCGTAAAGCGGGAGCCTTGTGCACTGGGTACGACCTTTTTTTATTAGTGTTCTTGTTAGTATCTCTTACATTTGGGTAAAGGTTGAACTGGGGTTTTATCATTGGTATCGAGCCAGTCCTCACGTTCCCTTCTCAATGTATTCGACTCGCATTTCACACTACAAAAAATATGGGCACTGCGCACTATAAATTATTTGTGCCCTTTGAGGCCAAAGGGCACCAACATATGTGCCCATAGACCAATGGCAACAGTGCAGCTACTATTATATTGTATGTGCCCTCTGTGGGTGTCACCTTTGATGAAAGGGCACAATATGACTTTTGGTGCTTAAACAGTTAAGCACCAATCTGGGGTATTTGTGCCTCTGTTCTGACACCTGTGTCAAATGACTCTTCCAAGCCATGTTTGCACAATTTTGTTATTGTGCCCAATAGGTTAAATATTTAAAAAAAAAACATAAATTCAAAATTTCAAAATCAAACCAAATAGTGATACCATCAGTAATAAATTATTTGGCTGGTTTTACATGCACGTCCAAGATACCAATTAAACTAAGGGCAGAGCTAAAACATGCTTCTAAAATTTAGTTCTACAATCGACTCATACAGATATAAGCACCATGTAAGCAACCAAATCCTTCTAGTATCTCGCCTAGCAAGAAAATAAATGATTTACCCACTGTGAAAGATTCATGAATATTTACTTAAAAGGGATAAAAGAAAATAGCCTGTGTTGAGGCCAAATTTGTAGCCCGTGTTGAGGCCAAATTTGTTCTCAATAATTAAAAATCAAGTGATATAATATTTTTAGAGCCAGAATTTGATCCCAAGTGCAAACCAATCCACAACTATAATGCCATGAAAGAAAAAGACCAACCTCTGCCTTCTCGATGACTGGAGACTTCTTGAATGGCAGTAAAATATGTGGGAGCAAATACATATAGACTACAATTGATCAAATCACTCACCTGCATTTAGAAAATAGATAACCCTTACATAATGCGGCCTGGAACAAAGCTCGTAAAACAAAGAATTGAGATCATCAAGCACCAACTAAATTAACAATTTTCGGATAGTAATTGCATTGTGTACATACAAAAGTCACTCGCTAGTATAATGCAATAGTTCTTTGGTGGCAGGATCAACAACCAACTGCCAAAACTGGTTCCAAGATTCAACAAAAACTTACAGATGAACCCAAAAACGAAGTATGGCATGATGAAAAAACAAGAGGAAAGAACATCAGGAATATGGGGGAAAATTGCAACATTATTCAATAGTTCAAGCAATCTGTCAACAAACGACCCTTTAATTACTAACATTGTACCCATCACCTTATATCCTTTATGAGCATCTGCAATGACGAACAAGAAGAAGCAATAAAAGGAATTAACTTTTCGAAATCTTATCTATAATTCCAAGCAATAATCACAAGTAATTTTCATTAAATTCCAGAAATGAATTGTATAGTGGACAACTAACAACTACTAATTGATCTTTTGACATGTCACAACAGGCCACACCGCAATCAAAATTTAGGTCCAGTGACATCAATCGCACTCTAGATTAGAATTTCATTAACCTTCAATGTTTATCGTGTTTGAACTCCAATCCAAATCAGACATGACTATGTATTCGAAATATGCAAATGGATTTGAGTGTGTAAAAAGGATTAAAGGCAACTGCAGAAGAAGATGGGATGGTGCTTAGATAACTGCACATGCTTAGAAACAGAGAGCTATTCTTCCTGCCATTCAATCAACAAAATTTGAAACATCAATTTGTTGCTTTCCTAATTTTATTATGCCAATGCAAAATGCAATGCCAATTAATATGCAGTAAACTGTGTTTAAGATTAAACAGTTCTTACCAAAGAAACATGCGAAACCCGCCAGGGCCTAGCTCGTCCCATAATTATAGCAAAGATTAAGAAATAATTAGATGAAATTAAAACCCATAACCTCATGTATTCCACACACAAAAGTAATAGAAGAAAAAAGCACAGCAGACATGCAGAGTTATAAACAATCAACCTAAACAAAATTAAGAACCAAACAGATGAGTGAATTGTTTTCGTACCTCAAAATCGCTTTGACTTTGTAAAATTTGGAGTCTGGGACCTAACCTACGAGCAACCAACAATATGGAGTCAGAAGCCATGCCAAAATTTAAAATTTAAAATCCGAGACACCCAAATCATAATTTGAATGGAATATGCAATAACATTGAAAACCCATGAACCATTTTTCCAGAAAATGGGAAGAAGACAAACCAGAAGAACTCTACGCTCGTACGACCGGAACAATGGGCGCATTTGTTGCGTGCTTTAGAGCGATATTGGGCTGACAGAACCGAAATTTTGAAGCTTGGTGCGGATCGAGGTCGAACCCAAAAGCGGAAGCTTGTTGAGGTAGCAATGGAGGTGCGGCTGACTCCGAATTCAAAAGCTTCCACGACGACGACGAAATATTGATGAGGACCACGACTCCTCACTTCCCCTTTGACTTGCACCTGCCCTTCCCTCACCAACACCTCCTAACCCGGCACACCTCATTCCCATGATCCCTCCCTATCAGACTCGGATCCCAACGCGATTTCCCATTAAGGCTCTACATCCACCGATCTTCCCAAACCCAACCCACCCCCTCCCTTGATCCCCCATACCAGACCCCCGATCTTCCCAAACTCAAGAGCCTCCACGATTTGTCTGGAGAACGTAGAGAGAGAAAGAGGGGTTGGAGAAAGAAAGATAAAGGTAAGAAGAAGAATCTGAGGGAGGCAGAGCGGAAGAGGAAAGTAAAGGAAAAGAGATGGAAGGGACCCGGGACAGAATTAGGGTCGAATTTTAATTATTATTATAAGAGTTAGTGGGCATAATTATTATTATAACAACTATTTTTTAATTATTATTATAAGAGTTAGTGGGCACAATTGTGTTATGTGGTGGTGGAAACCCAAGTTTTTGAATTTGGAGAAGAGGAAACTTAATCTAAATCCAATTTTACAAGCTTGTCACTCCCCGATCTCGACATAAATCCCGGATTGACACTTGATGTCATCAAGTATCCGTACATCTATCATACCCTGCCTCCGGGATATGGCAAAGCGCAACTCAAGCATCAATTCGCATAGTAATTTATTTTTTCTTCCTGATTTCTGATTGGTTGCTCAACCCCTTATAAATTCTGATTGGTCCTCCACCATTTATATTTTAGTGAAACGACTTTAAATGTCTGTAACTATACTATTATAATCCGAACTCGCAAACGGTTTTCGTTTATACGTTCGTGGTCTTGAGATCTATTTGAAAACATCAATTGTGAACTTGAAAGGTCAACGAATTTTAAAGATTGATTATGAAAATTCAAACCCAATAGTTATTCGATTTAATTCAAAAAATCAACGGAATTAAAATTAACTAATGAAAATAACATAAACGTGAAATACGAATTTAAATAACAAGATATGTAATTAATAGTGAAATTTTGAGAACGGGATTTCACAAAGCCATTATTAGTTATAGTCCAATTTTGTTTTAATTTTGAAGTTCTATCAAGGGTTAATTGTGTTTAGCAAGATAAAAGGCTTGCGTTGTTCTTTTATTTATTTTTTCCTTTTTCTTTTCGTTTTTCTTTTTTTTCTCTGTTTTTTTCTCTTTCTGTATGAACCAGACGGGAAACATAATTGTCAACAAAAAAATATACAATGCTGAGAGTATCTATATCATGGGCCAATTAGAAAGAAAACGTTATTATATTGTAATACTACATAAGTTGATAAAAGGACCCAAGAGGAGTCTAGCATAGCATAAGATAATTATATTTTCACACACCAGTGAAATATAACATAATACAAAATATATTAATTGTGCTTGTCATCGCTGCTTAAAATCTCAAAGGTAACATTATGCATATTTCATGGCTTATCTGTGGGAGAGATAGGCCTTTAGGACGGATTTGTGCTTGATAAGTGCTTGGTTCTTCACTAATAATGATAGAACTAGTAGACTCTTCAGTTGTTGTTTCAACAGAAACCAAATTGACAGGGTATTGTTCTGTCCTACCTGGGTTTGCCCATGCTGGCAATACACGTCCTTGAGGTGCGCTTACACATCCGTTATTGGAGGGTAATACGTAGCCAAGGCGATCATCAGCAACAATAGTAAGAATGTATTGATTATCAATAGAACGACGCCCGACATTAACAAGTTGTCGTGGACGTTGAGCAAGAGGATTCGTTGTGGAATTTGTTGTTGTAATGTTGGAAGCAATAGAAGAATGTGATGTTGGAGATTTGGTTCCAATTCTAACTCCATGACATTGCCTGTCCGCCATTCTCAATGATGTAGAACTTGATCAAATTCAAAAGAAACACAAGTGTATGAAGCAACCTTCTAAATTTCCATATACAAATTAGTAAGGAAGTGTGGATGTTTTATACTAGAATAAAGGCACAAATCCATAATTGTGCCAACATATTCTTTTACTATAGAGTGATTTATTATTTATTAATGTTTACTGGACACAATTTCTAACATTTGTGTCAAAAAAGGAATTTATAATTATTAAGATATATTCTCTATTTGAAGACCCAATGAGAAGTAAAGTGATTGATTATTTATTAATATTTAGTGGACATAATTTCTATCATTAGTGTCATAAAAAGGAATCTACAATTATTAACTCATTTGTTTATCTGAAGACCAACTAAATTTTGCACAGAGACCGACCCTAAGAGCACAATTGTTGGTCATGAGTCACTGCAGTTAGGACTTTTAATACATTAAAAAAAATAAATAAACACTTGCTATAAAACCAAAAACCATATCACCAAGTATAAAAAACAAACATGCAGGAAGATAACAATCTAAAAAGCAACTAAAAAAAGATACGAATCTAACAAACATTCTTGCACCTGGAAATGATCCTTTGTAAATCTAAAACACGCCATTTAGTATTATGGTGTAGTGGTATTCTTGTTTACTTATAAGTGAGAGATCTGAGGTTCGGCTCTTGCGAAAAAAAAATTTGAACAACATTATTGCTAACTTATTTTGAGGCTAAAATATTGAGAACACTCTAACAAATAATTTTTATAGACACAAAATATTTTTTGTGCCCATATTTAGTAAAAAAGTTGTCATTTGACCCCATTCGGCACGGTTTCCGTGCCCATTACTGTTTTGTGTCTGCTTTTTTTAACATTGGGCACAATAGATGATGCCCTCTATAGAATGGGAACTGTTTAAGCTTTTTGGTGATCAAACTGACATAAAATTCTCAATTGTGTCATTTGTTTTGTACCGAAAGCTCATTTTTTTTGTAGTTTCACACAGCAATGGAGTCTCGTGTGAAGAATTCAGAAACCACGTTCGCAGATTTGCAAACGAAATAAAGTCCAACTATGAATTGATTCTACAGAAACTCCAATGTCTCGTTGCGAGGGGTGGTGGGGGGTCTTCAGGTGGCGACAATTCATCAAAACTGATGCATACAGATCCCAAGATTCGTCAAAGGATGAACCCTAATCTTGGCCCCAACATTGGGTGTCCTGATTCCTGTCCCAATTCGCATTCGCCGTTCATCAAAATGGCTTCTCACATCTCTGTTGTTAAATCGAATCAAGTCGTTCTCAAGCTTCAATCATTCCATGAGGAAAAGATTCAGGCCCGAGAGAAAGCATATGAGTTCTTCTCTCCGTTTCGTCTGAGATACAAGCCCAAGACTCGTCCTTGTTTACAACCCATATTGAAGAAATTCACAAAGGTTCGCGACTACGGTAAATACCACGATGGTGATCTGCACTGTTCCGTTCCAATTCCAAATTTCAAGAAAGTTTTGGGTTTTTTTGGGAGTGATTTGGCTGGGAAGAACGAAAAGGTTTTCGATTTACTCGACAAATGATTGTGATCTTCAATTAGGCTATCATATGCCAATTTCTGACACCGGGGGTACACATATTCGCGGGTTCTTTACTTCGAATGTTTAGACCAAAAATGCTCGGAGTTCTAAATGCCTTGTTTGTAATGGTGAAGTCATGAAAAATGGTACTATTGTGCATTTGAAGCTTAGCTTCCATGAGTTGATTCGTGACATAGGAGGAACATCTAGTCCAGGCCTCTTTAATTTGAAGTCTATTGGGGACGATGTTTTGGAGACAGCCATCTACTGAGGACGATTTTTTGGAGGCAGCAAAGCCCTTTGGGTTGGATGATGAGACGACCTTTCTTGCTTTCAACCTGTTTGATAAAATGTGTTACTCAAGTTCGATCCACTACCATATCAATCAAAAGAATACTGGTGGAATTTCCAAAGTTAAAACCTTGAGGACAAGGTTGATTTTTAAGGGAGGGGTAATGTTAAGATGCCAAGTGGCATAATTTAGTTAGCCCAGGTATCTCAATTGTTGAGTTGGAGATCTTTAGCCTGCAACCAGCTATATAAAGCTGAGATATGTGTAGATGTAAGGGTGAATGAATATTTGATTGTATTAGTGTTCTTGTTAGTATCTCTTACATCTGGGTAAAGGTAGAAGTGGGGTTCTATCACTGTCTATTGGAGGAAAAGAAGTACTCATTGAAGCTGTCTATCAGGCCATAACTACGTATAAATGAGGAGTAGTGCTTAAGATGTTCGTAGGGTCGTGAATTGTTAAAACTGGGGCTAAGGTGGTGAGCAGGAGATGGCAAGACATCGTATTTATGGAGAAATTTGGGTGCCAGGGAAGCTTTTTTTATTTTTTTTATTTTTTATTTTTTATTTTTTATGGGGAATTATGTTCCTACACTTTTGTTAGATAAGTGTGTGTGTGTGTGTTATTTGATGATAGCAAGTGGCTCGTGGAATATTCTTATGGTTTATGAGAATTTTGAATTTCAGGAAGCGGAAGCTATTCTTTCTATTCAATTGTTGGGGGAAAACCACGATCCCTGTATTTGGCACTTCAATTTAAATGGTCGATATATCGTTCAAAGTGGACACTAGGCTGCTATTGAGTGTAGAAATTTGGTGGAACGAGTTAATTCTATTCAGGGAAGGTCTCCTATATCTAAAGTATGGCAGTATATTTGAAGCTTAAAGATCCCACCAAAGTTTTGTCATCTTCTCTGGAGAGTTGCACATGATATCCTTCATACGAGAGTTGCATTTTTTATTTTGCGGAGAATGGTCGACTCGCCCAAGTCTTTTAGATGCCATCTAAGGGCAGAAAGTAGTTATCATGCACTTTGAGAATGTCCAGTAAACCAAGAGGCATGGAGGAAACTTGGTTTCCCGGATGCGGCTAATTTATGTGATTGGGTGATGCAAGTTTGGAATGTTCTAAACCATGTACAGCAGTGTTTGTTTGCTATTGGTGCATGGACATTGTGGAATGTTCGCAATTCTTTGTGGCTTCGAGATGTGAATACGGAGGTAGTGGAAATTGTTTGTTTGGTGAAAAACTATGAGGAAAGCATTCAATAGGCTCTTGATCAACCTCATATGAGGTCTTCTTTTCTAGCTCCTATATTAATTGCAATGGACGTCCCCTCCGGAGATAGGTGGTTACAAACTTAATGCGGATGGTGCTCTTGATATGTACAGTGGCTATCATGGTGTGGGTGCAGTGATGAGCGATGGTTATATTGGTG